CCTGTATGCAATAGCTGAGGTTATCAGAAATCGAGACTGTAAGCTATGGAACACTATCACGGATACTCCTTCCCATCCCCTTTACCAACTATTACCCCCTAAGAAACAGAGATTTTTGCGAAACAGAGGACATGATTTTATTTTATCTGCTGTTGAAAGAGAACGCTTTAAGAGATCTTTTATTAATAGGTGTCTTTTTAATTTTATTTAATTGTACTTTACCTTAAATAGATTGCATTGTCATGTATGTAAAGCCGCACGTATGTTGTGACTACCCAACTATGAATAAAGACTCTTATTATGTCACGGCGTTTTCTACTGACCGGTTTATTTTTAGACACATTTTAAGGCAGTTTTTCCCGCGAAAATGGAATCTCCGCAACGTCCATGAACGCATTCGAAGATATCAAAAAGGAATCTTAACGTCATTAAAAGGGAAAAGTTATCATTTTTAGGTCTGTAGGTTTTTGCTGACTGGTTTGTGTGACTTAAAAGATATGCTAAATTCGCGCCAAGATCGTTCTAATGGGCTCCTGTCGCAGGCCAGATTTCTGCCTTGTTTGAGATACCTGTGGGTATGTGTCAGAAGGCGCAGGTTGATGGGCTCCTGAGGTCACTTATTTAAAAATAAAGGTCCCTTATAAGGTCTTACTCGAAGACACTACTAATGCAAATAACGTTTCAGCGAAAAATCAGTAAGAAACAATATTAAACACCACAGTATTCAACTGAATTTTCGAATCAAAGGATAACCTTGAACGTACAGAAAATGCGTTACCGTCGAAGGCGAGGGAACCCAGGGAAGTATCAGAAGACAAGCCCGCGCGCGCCCGTTCCTTTTCCTCGCTTTGGGCGAAGATTACGAACCCACCCCACCCCAATGACCACCCCAATCACTTTTAGAAAATTATAAAACGGCAATGAAGAACTAAACAAAAGAATAAAACGAAAATATATATAGAAAAATATATTTCAATATATATATTTTCTGTTTTAAGGATCAGTTTGCCGTGTTTATGATTTTGTACAAGTTTTCATTGTACTGATCCAGGACTACAACTAAGAGATCCGACAGCATTCAACGGTTTGTTGCCTGGACTTGCTGATCATAATTTTATATTTTGGCACCCCAATCTTTGCATGAACCGCTCATATATTTTGAAAATGATTTACACGTGCCAAAAAGATAAGATAACTAAAAGTAAAAGTGTTGAAAGTAAAGACATCCAGTTTCTTAGCCTCTATTCAGAAAATTATAGTCTTGCAATAGGGGTGCCATCACGCAGGTAAATAAAATGAAATAAATAAAAAAAAAATAGCGATAGCAAAATCTCCTACAAAAGGTAAAATGGATAAAAACATCATAGCATTAATTATTGCACAATATTAAAATTCATCATTGACTGAAATGCTCAAATAAGACTTTTTTGAATCAATCTGCAATTTTCGCTTTGTAACGTTTCCAATGAGACAAACAAAAAATGGAAAATCCGTCGCCCGTGCCCACATCCAGCTAAGGTCCCCACTCCCCACGGGTTTTTGCACTCCTGTTCCTTTCACAATGTGAAAATCAAAATGGCCGCCATCGGAACGTGATTTATGAATCCTTCAGTTCTTGGTTTTATCTTCCCTTGTGTGGTTTGATCAAAGCGACAAGGTCTTGTTACTAAAGGTAAGAAAGTTTTCAAAACACTATGGATATATTTAGTTGTGAAAGTCAAATGATAGCGGCTAGCTACTCAGATGAGAACACACAGCAAGTGGTCAAGAGTCCGACTACAATTCAAACCCGATATCCTTTCGGGTTCGATTTGGGGCCATCAGGTCCTAATAACAATTCGGAACTGAACTTGGTTTCCCACTGACAAATATGTATCTGCTGTTTTTAAATCTTTTATGTTTCCAAGCATATTACTTTGCTTGGTATCTGAAGGCGGGTGTCTAGAACACAGACCTCGAAAACACAGACCGCAGACTGCAGACCTGGAAAACTCAGAGCTCGAAATTACGAGTCTTATATAAGTCCTACACATTTGATGAAAACA